TTGGGAATAAAATATGTTTAAATAAAAAAAGATGTAATCAAAATGTTCATTATTATTTTACAGCTGATTGTATACATGTACGAATTGTTTTACCACAAATAAATTCGAACAATTACTCAGCCACATTAATGTGTAGCCTATATTAGCAATGCTTAATTCGCAATAGTATTTTCCCACGGTTTCATCGATCGTACGGGAATAAAGCTCATTCACTCTCCAGTGTCTGATAAACAGGTGCTGTCTCATCCTCCAGTGTTTGATATAAAGGCCCGGCATCATTTCCTGTTTCCTTGTCTTCGTTAGCATCCGTTGCCGTATTCTTATTTTTGATAACTGTGTCTTGATAGGCGTTACCTCTAACCGGCGCTCGCTGTACAGCCGACTTGATATCGTCAGTTTTTGCATAATCATACTCCAATTCCTCCGAAGGTGGCGCTGGTTTACTTTTCTGTTCGACTTTAGCGTAGTCGTATTCATGATCACCACCAGGTTCGTACAAGTCGCACTCTTGCGAGGCCGCATTGGCATTCCCATCTGGTTCTTGGTATATCCCGCCGTCGTTTGACAAGGAAGGGTTTTTGTTATCTGCTGAGGAATAGATAGGATTCATTGTATCTCCAGATGATTTGCCTGTCATGATAAGGAAAAGAAAATTCAATTAATAATTTAACGGTTTGTTAAAAATAATATTGCGTATTATGTATGAATGGCATGCGGTGAATGGAGTAGGAAACTGCGCGAGTAATAGGAACATCGTATATGTGCTCGAATAATTTTAATGCAAAATACTCGCTAGAATGTTGGGGTTTGGTCCAAATTATGCCAGAAACATTGATTACTTTTGTTTCAAATCTTTCTAGAAATTATATATTGGATTAAAAGCGAGAAAAATTAGCTCAGTGAGCATGTAGCCTGCTGTTGCGTAGAAAGTAATAACTTCATACCTTTACCGTTAATTTCCACATTAGAGGAAGTTTTGTCTAAACGACTGAAAGCAAAATCACATAAGAGAGATTAAATAATATCAACCAATTTAGCAAGAAGATGCAACAATAAAACCGTTATAAGAAAATATGGAGGCGATGCACTGCAATTGTTGATTACAGGTTAGTGCATTATGTCGGTACTACTACTGTATCAAGATTTTGGGCATCTCGCTCGATGGTACTAACAGTTGAAGGGTTTTTGTGGATGGAAATTTTGAGTGGAAGATTATATACAATTTTAGAGCTCATCATCAGCAGCATTGTTTATAATCTTCCGCTCGAAGTTTCCATAAATGTCATTTATATACACAAAATTATGTTCATCACAATACATTACGCATGATTTAGGCCCTGAAGAGACATAAAATTCAAGTGAGGGTTTGCAATATGGTTATGTTTCACGCTTTCGGATTTGAGGGTTCGTTAAATTATATTTTCGCCTTGGTTTGTATATGTCTGCATACGTGGCATTATATACGAAAACTTATTAACACAAAAACGTGTGGGCATAATGGCATAATCTAGGCCAAGGACAAATCGACTAAATTTTGGTTCACTTTGGAAAAAAAATTAAACGACAAATTAACAAAAGTTTCTCTAGCTTTTTCGGGCAGAGAAAACTGGATGGGAAATATTTGTTTACGGAATCCATTCGCTGGCAGAGGCCCTCTATAGTTTTAATTTAATTTCCATAATTTGTACATTTGCCACCTTACGTTATTCTAGAAGGCAAATGGTTGCGGTTATTTTTAATTGTTTGATCAGTCTAGGAATGGATTAAAATGATGTAATATATATTGCATCCAGTATAAAAACTGAGACTTCTAGCTAACATATAGACATTAAAGCTAACATATAGTGGGAGGTATTTTTCGCGATACCTTGTATATTACAGTTTTACCGAGCGCGAGTGCCTTTATCCTGCAACGCAGACTGAGAAACAAATTTAGGGAGAGGCGTCGCCTCTCATGTCAAGAACTCATACAATAACTGTTTATAAGAAGACTTTCTAACCGCCGCATCCCAAAAAAATACAACAAGATAGGCGTTTAAAATCTTACACATGAATGCATTACCAAACATTAAAATATAAAATGTACTGTGCAATATTACTCTTACCTTTTTCTTCTTTTATAACAAAAATATCCAAGAATTATACCACATAATACCAAGATTGCCGCTAGCAAACCAACAACAATACCAACTACACTGGATGATCCACCTTCCTGTTGTTCTTTGGAACTTGTTGGTAATTTTGTAGATCTTAGGTGTGAAGGATCGAGGTTGCCGTGAGAGCTTGTTGCTGATGTTGCTGATGTTGCTGGTGTTGGAGGTTTTGTAGGGGCCGTTTCAGGTGATGATACCTACAGGCAATAAAAAACTAATCACCACGTGCTTTGCGCGGTGTGAATACAGCGTCGAGATTTTCCGTGTGGCATTCAATATTTTGGTTTGTTGCTTAGATTTTGTTGCATGCGCAACCACATATATTCTGCTTACGCTATGCAACACAACACAACCCAAGTAAGCTAAACTTAACGTGTTCTTCATTCGGATTCTGTTGTGAATATGCTAAGAAGCCCTTACCCTTATGCTAAGAATCCCTTACCATATCTTATAAAGCGTAACCCTGGGAATTAATTTTCAGCGATCCATTCAGGAGGACCACCTCACCTGAGCCATCGCTCAGATAATCGTGAAGTAAAGCAAGATTAGTATACATAGAGTAAAGTACAACTAATTTTCACATTTGACTAACTTTACTGTTTTCACGACAAAATAATTTATTCTTTGTTGCTTGAAAGAATAATTTTGCAGTGAGTACACGCGTCAATTAATTGAAAGAAAACGGGGAAAGCTTGGGAAGAAATATAACATCAATTCAGCATGGGTATAAAATTGTAACTTATGTCCGCAATATCATCTGCTTTAGAGTGGTCGCCACTGGTTACATGGTTTGCAATGATTGGCCTACCACCTGTAATAGTTGGTAAGCAGGTGATATCACGTGGCTCCCACCTGTGTCAGGTAGTAGCAGGTGCTAGTACCTGTGTCAAGTTATAACAACTGGTAGAGTTGTCCAAGGGATCTTAGTATGCGCCCATGTACAGTAAGTGGTGTAAATGGTGTGAGTAGTAGCAGGCGCTAGTGGCTGCTTACCACGTGTGCCAGGTAGTAGCAGTTTCTATATCGGCCGCCTAGCACCTATGCCAAGCGGTAGCGATTGGTTGAGTTTCCAAGGGGGAGAGGGGGGGGGGGGTGGTTTTTT